GCATGGAAACTCGGAGTCGTGTCCAGGGTGATGAAAGGGAGAGATGATGTGACACGGGGAGCTAGTATACGGACCTCGAACGGGAATATCGAGCGAGCGGTCCAGCATATTTATCCCTTAGAGCTATCCTGCGACGAGACAAAGTGTAACCCCAACCCGGAAGCACCAACCTTTACCCCACGTCTGACCCGGGATGCAGCTGAAGCAGCGAAGATACGGTTGAAGCAAGTCGTGGATGCGGAAGAATACTGATGCGAGACATTTATTATAACTTTATTCCATATTAACTTTATATATTCTATTTGTTAGGTAGTAAATGATGAACTACAGCAACGAAGTCAGTCCCTTCAAGGACATATACCTCAATTCTGAGCTATATGGGGGAGTGTGTCGGGAACTGACAGATAAGATTATTAATTTAATTGATTATTAGTGCATGACGTAGGAATGATTAGGTGTCAAAGTGAGGGTGTGAGTGAAATAGTCACGAAAGAGAGCAGAGAGTTAGTTGAACAATCGTAGTTGGACTGTGACAGTGAGTGAGAGAGAAATTGTATTGTGAAAGAGAGATAATAGCCCGTGCGCTATCTATCTATACGTAATCTTGACCATTGTGAACCTTTTAATTTTGTTATATATCTTTGGTAAATTTTATGTTTTGTTTGAATATACATTTTTGTTATTTCGAACATTTGTGACTTGTCGAGGACTACATTTTGGAGGCGAATTCTCGACATAGTGGCACCTCCTGATCGGGATTTTACTGAATCTGTGATATGAATATGGACGGGAAAGAGTTGACGAATCTCGAAACGAAGCTAACGCAGCTGGAAATCGCAACAGAGAAGTCAAAAACATTGCTGAGCTCAGGTAAGCGAGTAGCAATTAAGCGACACCTCGACGCGTTACAAACAACGGCCAACGAGGCCAATGAGTGCAGACGCACTGTTGAGGCATTTGAAATCACAAACAAAGAAGAGCTTTCAGAAATCAAAAAATGGAACGATGACTTAGATTTAAAGTTTTGAGCCCGCTGACGCGGCTATTCAAAACCTAGAACATTTTCTTGCTGAGGCCAAAAAGGCCGAAAAGTTTGTGACGCACGAGGAAGAGTTAAAGCATGAAATGATACTGCATGAAAAGAGAATGGAAATGCAAGCCGAACTGTCGTGAAATTCGTGCCCAATTCAACCGGTTTGCAAAGAATCGTAAGGTATCCTGCGAAAATCGGAAAACAGGACCGTTAACGTCGGAAGAAATCGAAGAAAGTGAACTTTGGGCGATTAAAAGAACGCAAAGTGAAGTCAAGGAAGATCCTGAATTCCACGACATCCAACTTCAATTGAACATTCAGCTTAACGGAAACGGAGTACTCGAATGTCGCGGTCGAATTGAAGGAGATTTCCCCGTGTACTTGCCTCGCAGTTCCACCTTAGCCAAGAAAGTAGTCGAACGAGCACATCTAGTAACCCTCCACGGTGGTGTCGCTATGGTCATGGCAAAAGTACGTGAGCGATTTTGGATTCCAAAACTGCGACGGTTGGTGAAGCAAGTGCGGAAAGATTGTTACGGGTGCGTGAGATTTAGAGCTCAAGCATATAAGAAACCTCCACCTGGGAAGCTGCCAATCACGAGAACGCAAGGTTCAACCCCGTTCCAAGTCATTGGAGTAGATTTTGCGGGTCCAATACGCTACCGGACTAAAGCAAAGGCGGAGAAGAAGGCATACCTGGTGCTTTATGGCTGCAGTTTGACGCGTGCAGTGCATCTCGAGATCTTACGGTCACTGGAAGTTGCGGAGTTCATGCCAAGTCTGAAAAGGCTCATCGCAAGACGTGGTCGCCCGAAGATTATATATTCCGACAACGCGAAGACCTTTAAGGCTGCCGACAAATGGCTGAAGAAAGCACAAAAGGACGAGAAGTTGAACGCATTCCTGGCTGACAACGCAATCGAGTGGAGGTTCAACCTTAGTCGTGCACCATGGTGGGGAGGCCAATTTGAACGTTTCATTGGTCTCTTCAACAGAGTGTTCTACAAAACGATCGGTAATGGAACGTTGACTTCAGACGAATTAGAGGAAGTAGTATTGGATGTGGAAGTGGCTCTCAATAATCGTCCGTTGACCTATCTAGAAGATGACATCCAATTACCAGTACTTACACCTTCCTCAATGCTGAACATTAACCCTTGTGTCCTGCCTGAAGTTGATCCCCACTACCTGGAAGATAGAGATTTACGAAAACGTGTGAGACTATTACGGAAAAGTAAAGAGGCGATGTGGAAACGTTGGTCCCAAGAGCATTTGACAATTCCCCACCCTAAGGCAATGCCAAAAAATAATATGAGAAACAACACATAAAAACGGCAAGTTTATTTTACCATTGAAATAAAATGTCAAATTAAACATTAGCTCATTTCAATTTGTTCCAAACTTACCTAATATATAACTCACAAAACAATTCCCCACCCTGGAATCAAATATTGTAGTATATATTATACATTGGCCTGTGGTGAGTGGAGGTAGTAACAGTATTGACTCTAATGCATAAAGCAAATTAACATTATCTAAATCCTCATAAAACTACAATAACACTGTGTATCTAATAACACTGTGTATCTACACAGTGTCAGGGGCATCAGAGCGGCTCTAGAAGTGGGGGGCACACCTACTATTATATACCAGTAGGATTTAATATTATTGTTGTTGTGTTCCCGTTGTGTTCATTATTTACCAATTTATTTGTTGTGTTCCTTAAATGGGCCTTCTAAATCATTTTGAAATAGCAATTAACATGTGGTATCTTATGGAATGAAGGTGTTCATCCAGTTGGAACACTTAGTGGAAAAGAGCATTACAGTGTTCTACAAACTGCTGGAAAAGATCTGTTAAAGGAAATTAATGAGCTGATAGCTGCTGGGAAGATAAATGTCACTGGCAGGGAAATAAACTTAGGGGGAGATAACAAGGTCAGAGACTATTAAATATCAGTATTTTAATGACACACAAACTCCAGCCCAACCTCGTTCCCAGGGTCTCTCCGTCTGTCATCTGGGAGAGACCCTGGCTGCGGCTGGTCACGTGCCTCCCAGATTCTGGGAGGTAAATTTAATTGTAACTGTGAGAGGGGTGGGAAAGGAGCGTGTTTGTAGCGTTTTAAAATTGCAACTGTGGGTGATGAAATGTACTGTAAATTTGCAACAAGAAATCGTAAAGAGAACTCTTAAATTAATATTTATATCGTGACGTTCTACTCTATAATCTGGTGTCGAGTTACAATTCAAGCAAGTTGGATCAGATTTCATTTAATATAGACTTGCCAAAGAAATCACGCTTGCGGCGGCTTGCCGCTTGTGCAGCGTGGCAATATTAAACCTACAGGAAAATATGTATCTCCAGACCGAACAGTGTGGTTGTTATTTATTTAGTATTAAAGTCTATCCTGATACTCGGACCAAAAGAATTTATTTATTGATGAGATGTGGAATTGCAACGAAATAGCGAGATCTTTTGATTTCCGAAATATCGCCAACTGTATCCAGATTGTTGATCTATATAAAGACCTTATAAAAAAAAACTTAAAGCCCTTTGCATTGCTGAAACCAACGATCATGGACGTGGTATATGTCAAAGTATAGCTGTCTGTTGAAAATCTACGGTATTAAAATTAAAATCATACACCAAAGATAAGTCAAACGACAAATTATATGTCACTATATATTATACATGTCTTTCAAATATGAGCACTGTTTAGTAGTGTTCACCACCTTTATAAATTTTGTAAACAGCTTTCGTTAATTTGACATGAATAAGCTTTTATTTTTTGCTTATATGCATTCTTAATAATACAAGTGAGATTTAAATTTTTGCTTTGTGAAATAGAATACCGTTATTTTTTAATGGACAGCTTGCATCGTCTATATCATATCCAGGATTGCTTGTGTGCAAACGCATTATTCACTATATGGCACTATCAAATAAATATATTAAAAGTAGCAAATGATTAATGAATTAGAGATAAACAGGTGATTCACAATGAAAACTTTAAAAATGTTAGTAGAAGTAGAAAACTCGAAAATTTATGTCTGTTCGTATGACGCCAATGACTGTCTGTGCGCATCTGACACTGCAAATTTGTGATATAGATTATAGTATGTTGGCACAATATAATGATTAATAGAGACCAACAAAAAGGCTAAATCTTACTATAATTACCGAATACGAATTATGTACTAAATCCATGTAAATCAATGACTGAAATTTCCTCTATGCTTATGGACATTTCTCTGTTCAGCTATTTATATCAAATGTTTACATTTGCTAATATTGGGCCAGTCCTAGACAATACTGTTTCTTTTAAAAATCTTATAAACAAGACGCGTAGACGTAGTAACAAATGAATCGGTGCCAAGCGTATCAACGTTTACAAGAAAGGACGAATGTAATGGCGTATTTTAAAAACATTACAATAAACGTTTGTTACTAAACCGCGCTCGAGTGTGAAGAGAGCATACATTGAGTAACAACACGAGACTCGAGCACTGCGAGTAAGATTTGCTTGGTTTCTTTGAGTTGACTGTAAGTAAGAATGTAAGAATGTTCTTGTAAATTCAAAGCAAAGAAAATAAACAAAAATTAGCAAGTATTTTGAATGTAATAATTCGCAAAATTTATGTTTTTAACGAATATCCAACTGGAAGCATGTTATGTAATTTGATACTTTCCCCACACCCCCTCGGGTGCTAAATTTTTGATGAGGCACGTGACCAGCCGCAGCCAGGGTCTTTCCCAAAGAAAGATCCTGGGTACGAGGTTGACTCCAGCCGGGATGCCAATTAAATGCTAAAAGAACTGCATGGTAGTATACTTTGACTTGGTTTGAGTAGATCTCGAGACCAACTTGTGGAAAGTCTATTAAACAATGCTATACAATAATCTATAATTATTTATTTTTTAATTTTTCTTACCTTGCTGGGCATGAATGCTTTTAAATCATAGTATGCCTGTATATACTGTAAAATTGCATCATTTGAATGGTATCCGTTATCATTCCCTATATTCCAATTGAAACTAAATAATCACTAATACTGATTATATTATAATGGTTTCTTTTGTTCTCGCTGGGTGGTTTATAAATCACGAATGTTCCTGCCAAGCTTTTGGAAGTCCCTCTGGCTTGTCTCTGGATAAATCCATCCTGGCCGCTAGCAAGGGAATTTAGTGATTAACTCACCTGGTGAGAACAAAAGAAACCAAGGTTTGGATGTATGTCTACTGTCATAGTTACCATGTCATACTGGTGTGTGAAGTATTGGGGGATGAGCTCAAAATCTAATAGTTTGAAATATTTTATTCAAAACAACATGTACTGCATGCAGGTATGATCTAATAATTAATTAAAACTGATTCCCTTTTGTAGAGGGGACATGTCAAAGCCAGTGTAATTTTATTGGTCTGATGATAGGGGAAGATCTATCCAGGAAATTAAAAATGATTTCCTGAAAAGTGGCAATGAGAGGTTTGGCTGTAACCATACACCCCTTCTTAATATTCCACTGCAAAACATTGTGCCAGACGAGCTCCATCTAATGCTTAGGATAACAGGTATCATATGTAATATTTGTTACTTTCGGGGTAAAAAAGTGTTAACTACAGATATAATTACATAATACTTGCAATCAATGAGGTCTGTGGGGTGCAGTCGATGCAGGCACTAGGCAGTCTTAGGTCCTGATTATATGGGAGCCAGGCTGGTCCGCTTGTCCATATAAACACACAGGAATTTTTACTATAAATCCAATATACAGTGAGATCTTGCTATACAGGCTAGCTTGCCAAACAGGCCAGCCCAGCTCCATATAAACAGGGCCTTATTCAACACATTAAATAAGTAGCTTCAAATTCACACATACCTCAAAAAATAAATAACACTTCTACATGTTTCCAGCAAAAGCTCTTTGAAACATAAAAAAACTTATTAATTTTATCATTTCTGGTTGCGAGAAACAATATTTGCAGCTGCTTATATAATGGCATATTTGTAGATACACTTGAAAGAAACCTTATTCAAAGCACACTTGCTACAGATAAAAAGGCTGAATTTTTTAACACAAATTTAGCAAAAGGAATTTATCAGCATAAACTGTGTTCAGCTATCAAAAAGTGTGGTGTCTCTCTCAACATCTGCAAAAACCTGATGAGAATGGCAACATGCAGCACTGATAAGTATGACTGGACCAGTCTTGTGGGGTATATAACCGTATAGCCGCTTCGTTTTGCATGACCGGCCAATTGTGTGAATGTGTCCACTTCTGTGCTTATGGGTTCTGGTTATAATACAGACAACCGAATAATACAAGTCCTGCAAAACAAGAGTTTATCACCACTTCAAATGTCCCCCAATCACCTAGCAGTGAAACAATTGCTAAAGCATTATTAGAATTGTGTTCAAATCCGCGCTTAAACTCAGACTATGATTGGTTTGAACAGAGTTTTATCAGGGGCGCACATTAGGGTGGGGGTGTGACACACCCCATGTTTTGTGAAATATATCTAAAAAGTCGGTCCCAAAACCTGAATGGGACGAAAAAGTCGGTCCGGCTAAAATCTGAAAGATATTATCATTTTGTGTCGAAAAAGTAATAGGTAGACATTCTGGAAATGGAAGTTGCATAAACATAACAAAAACGAATTAGACATACACAAATTAGAGTTCACTGACACAAACCAAGAGAACAAATAATCAACTTCCATGTTGCAACAGTTCAACCAACGTAATGCGATCCGATTACCTCAAGCCGCCGTGGTGCAGTTAAAATGTGCATTGTTAGTCTTGTCGTAAAAGCTGAAACGTTGAAAGGCAGAAGTAAATCAGCGGTGTAGCCAAGAGGGGGGCTCGGGGGGCTCTGCAATGGGCATAAGGACTGCCCGTGTGGAAAGCTGAAATCCGAGCAGAAATTGGGGTGGGGTATGATGTGTGAATAATGATACCCATCTCTTCTGTTTGCCAATAAAAGTTGAAGTCTTCCCTACCTAGAATCCTAACTCCAGTAAAAAAATGCCTGTGGTTGCTTTAAAGCACATTGGAACTTGAATTTGCGCTCAAAGCAACACTCATGCCCGACTTCTACAAAAACGAAGACATGATGCTATTTTGCTGTTGTATTTGTGTGTACAATACTATGTTTTACACAAATATTTTTTCGATCTAACAACATTAGCCTAAGGCGACTTAAAAATGCCTTTTTGTGGTTGTAACTTTTCTTCAAACCTTGTCCTAAAACATGTGAAATAGCGTTCTAATGAATCTAGAAATTCAAAATTTTCCTGCATTCGAAATCCATATAAATTTTGCCCCCCCCCCCCCTTCCAAAGGTTTAGATCACTGCAAAAGTTCTGAAAAACTGAACGTTTATTTAAACTCTTGGAATACTATCCCCGTCTTACCGTCTATGCGCTTTAAATAGTTGGCTTTTCTTACCAAGCACAAATACTACAAAAGTCGGTCCCAGAACATAGGACACCCCAAAGTTTTTTCGAATGTGCAAATTTTTTTCGAATTTTTTTTATATAGTTGTGTTTTATATTAGTTTGCTCAGACAATTTTTATTTAATATGGGGAATAAATTACTATAATATGAATAGTTTGATATTATACTGTTTATGCAGTTGAGCGTCGTTTAACGTCATAAGCTTGATGAATTTATCAAACATATTCAAAACCTTGCAAGTGCAATATTCAAATGTCACTTTATACGCTCAGCTCAAATGTCGTATTTATCATGTGTCGAACTGATCTAAATAAATAGTTTAGACTCATTGTTTCCGAGCTTATTTGTGTCAGCACATGAAAACTTCGACTTTTGAACTGGGCCTAAAGCTTTACATTTATTGAGTTTTATAACAAATATTTGACAAGATTTGTAATCACTATTTATGGTATAAATTGTTACATATATCATAACAATTGTGTGCTATTATAATATTATAATATTATTATAATATTATAACGACAAAAACCGGAACTGAATCATGGGACTAAAGCATCCAGAGAACTATCGGTTTTCTTTTAATTATATATCAAATTACATAGAGTATATATAACGCATGCACTTGTAATATAACCATTCCTGATGATGACTAAATAAAGTCGAAATGTTGAATCAAAATGCTTACTTTATTCGGAGTTACCGTTGTATTGTATTTTATTATAAAATTCCTAGCGACACATTTGGGCTTCGTGGACTTCTTGTAGGAATAATTACAGTAATAATATACTTGGGTCAATTTCAATCAATTACAGTTAGCTATACAGTTTGTAGCTATACAGTTGTAGTTATATTAAAGCTATACAGTTTAAAATTTCTTGACATTTCGGGTGTTACTCGACTAAGACCATCATAACTCGCAACTTGCATGTGATCTTCCGTTAATTTTGTATTCTTTCTTAGGTGGCCCTTAAGTACTCTAAAACAATATTCGCAAGTATTATATACAGGGTGGTATGGCGGTTGGAAACCCAAATTACAACCAACTTCTTCAAGCATATTTTCAAGAATTGGTTCAGTATGTCGTCCAATTAAAATGTTCGCATGATCAACACCGAAAATACTGTGAAGCAAATTAACCGTATAATTCGCATAAGAAGCATAACGTACTTCTATCGCAGGTGATCCAACAGCTGACTGACCGTAATGTCTGTTTCCCGTTGTTTTGATAACAGAGCATTCGTCAAAAAATGCATGCATCTTGGATCAAGAGCATTACAAGCAGATAAATAATCGATCAATTTTTCTTCACAAGAGTCTGTTAAACTCTCTCTTGCAACTATGTTCAGACGCTTGTAAGAGTAACCAAGATCGTCCCCATCTGTTCGAGTTATAGAAGATTCAGAAGGCAAGTTTTGTGAAAGACAGACATTATTTTCGACCAATTTTTTCTTAATTTCTTTCGCACAATACTTGGTTGTTGCCGTTTGCAAAACTCTGTGTATGTCATAACATCATCAGTTCTCGTAGTTCTAGTTGTACACCCCCCACTTCTGTGTTTATGGTCGCCTCGCTATAAGAATTTGTGGATTATGTTTGAAACAGTACTTTTAGGTATATTCAGTTCTCTTCCTATACTTCTATGACATTGCCATCGATCTACTATTTCCGCACGAACATTATCTGGCAAAGAGCTGCCTTGCGTGATGAAAGGATTATTTACATTCATTTAATAACAAATAATATCATAATAATAATTTCAGTTTTTAAAATTATAATAAGTTTAAATTTACAGCCAAAATCGTTTGCAATTTGCGAACTTCCTTGGGAACTTGGTTTGGAATTTCATCACAAGTTTCAATAATTTGATGCGAAACTTTCGAATTTGATGGCCGATTTCCAATCAACTTGATCTTGTGTTTCTAGTTCCCAAATTCCCAACCAACCTCGCAATTGGCGTGGCCAAAGTTTCGTGAAATCAACTGTAATATGAACAGTTTTTAGGATATATACATGCCAGGGTTAATGATATTATATTTTAATATATTATATATTGTTAGGATTACATGCTCTTTTACCAAGTAAATACTCAACTTTTCAGTAGATAATATAGGAACTTTCACAATTGTTAATTTCATCATCCCCCACAACAAAATCTTTCATTACAATTTCCCCAGGAATGCCATTACTTTTATGGGAAAATCGATTGCTCTTCCTGTGCCATGATGATTCATAATGTAACTCCAGTGATCTGCCCAGTTGACAAACCTATCAAAGTTTTTCTTTTGATATAATTTGCTACCTCATTCAATAGCTTCACCTTTACTTTGCATCAGGTATCTCCAAACATCAAAGATGGAATGGTACATATAAATGAACATCCACCCCAGATGACTTTAGCCCATGTGTTATGGTTGTTTGAAGAACAAAACATGACTCTTCAACCCCTTGACATGTATTGGCTGTGGATGATCATGGCTCCTGTCAAAGATACAACACAGATTATTATTTTTAACAATCATGTCAATTTTAACACTTGTTTTCACAGGCATTTGTTTGTGTGCGTGCTTTTTTCAAATACTCGACACTCAGAGGAACATAGTTGATAGTACATACCACCATATGGCATATTATGACCTATTAATAACATCAATATGAGATTGCTTACCTTAGCAAAATATTGTTCAAGTTTTCCTCCGGTTCCCAGGACGACTGCAATGTTGGGTAGCCACACCATTTAACTAAATACTCTATAGATATTAAAACAAAAACCAAATCTGAAATTAGCAAGTCGAGCATTGGATTTGAAGTGAACTACAGTAAATGAAACCATTAAAATTTAAAACCAATTCATACATACGATTCAGGCCTATTTCTCCTTTCAATTATTCGTTCCACTTTGAAAAATCTCCCTGTTGCCTTTTTAAGCTTTTTTTCTTCTCTGAATATATATTGCTCAGATTGTGCAAAGCTGAATAAGAAATGTAGGCTTTGCACCCCTCGTTGCTATACAATCCGTCATTTTGAACTAAATGTTTGGGTAGTGCTGCTGACCTGCGACGACTTTGGGGAGTTATCGCTGACCATTAACAACGGGCACCATGGTTCCAATTTCTGGCTATGAGTTGGACATTGGTTATGAATAGCAAGGCAATTCTATAAGTATTGCTTGTAATATTTGATCTACTTTTAGAAAGCTTAAAACATTCAACATAATTTGATTTGACTTATATTCTAGTAGCTATAAAATTAATTAATGGAGAAATCATTGTCTACACCGTTGACACAAGTGTGATGTCTATGATGATTTAGTACATACAGGAAACAAAAATTAATTACAGTGTACGGTTCGCCTCCGAATTTGCACAACGCAATATATTCAAATCTGTGTGGTTTTTGAACGAACAAGGCAATTCTATATGTATATTCCTTATAGTATTTGATTTACGTTTAGAAAGTTCAAAACATTCCGCATAATTTGATTAGATAAACATTCCGCATAATTTAATGGAGAAATCATTGACTACACCGTCACACGAGTGTCTAATGTCTATGCAGATCGATTGAATTCTGCATGGTTTTTGAAAGAATGAGGCAATTATATACATTTTTGTTTAGTTGCACATGGCTATGGAAAATGAATATTTTCCATGTTCAATTATGTGTTCTTTTGAAAGAACGAGGCAATTCTATATGTATTCCTTATAATAATATTTGATATGTGGTATTGTGGTTTGGTGATGAGCAGACAAATTGTTTGGCTCGTATCGAGTGGACAAATTGGGCAAATCGAACGACTTGTCAAATGTTTGTGCATCATGTGGCAAAGTATTAATTAGGTGAAATTAAGACAAAACTCATATCAAATAGCGGATTGTATGACCTGTACAAGCTGTATCAATTGGAGAGTATTGTGTTAGAAAGGTCTTGATAATGACGGATTTTACACTTGTACGACCCGTATCTATGCAGCAGTATCGGACATGTGTATAAGAAGGATAGAATACAGAGGCCAATTTGGATTACAGAGTGAATAAACATAAAAATAGCAATACATGTGTATGACTATTGTAAAATAAATGTAAAATATAAGGTGTCTTGCCAAATTCCCTGATATTTTTTGTCAAACCAATGTGTTGGGCCATGGTTGTAAGAACTGTAGCATTTATATAGAGCATCTTTTGTAGTGACAGGTAAGCAGAAATGGGCAACGAGTGAGTGAGATGTACAGTACATGTGGTTGTTTAGGTTGTTGTGTTGATTATGGGTGAGTTGAGGGATCATTTTGGGAATTGTATACTGAGACCTTGGGAAGCAGTATGTTTTGTGGACCCAGTTGAGGGGCCACAAAACACACTGCTTTCCCAAGGTCTCAGTAAATAAGTGTCTTGTTATATAGTATATAAGTGTCAAAATATCTTGAAACCAAAACTAGATAAATGGAATGCCATAAATGTTTAATAAAACAAGTTTAATAAAATTAACTTTGGAACTTCACGCTCATGTCGCATGTGCACTACACCCATTCTATTGTTGACCGGTCAACAATTGTTTCATTGTTGACCGGTTGCCCTCTCATCAAAGCAATGGCATGTGATACAGTTTTGACCAATCGGCAAACAGGAAAATTGAACTTTGACACTTGCTATATAACAATAATGTTTGTGAACTTGTTATTTTATGTTGAGAGTGTTATTTATTTGAACCAGTATGAATGCAGTATATATGTTTATGTTCTTTTGAAACTGCTTTTCTGAGTTAATATTGTACGGTATTGTACGGTACAAAAAAATTTCTGGGAACTAGGTTCCCAGGTTCCGATACTTTTTCCACCCCTGGCATATGCATTATGCTGCTAATGAGTATAATGACATTAGAGAAGCCAGATGAAGAAATTGAATATTTGAAAAGCTCTGTGAATGCTGTCGTTTCTTATTGCATGTCCACAATGTGTAGGCGAAAATTAATCATCGCTCACTTTGGTGATGAATCAGAAACAGAATGTTATAGAACCTGTGATAACTGTTCGAATCACACTTACCAATATGACCACCCCTAAAAGTACCATCTCTGAACCATATAAGCACCTCAGAATAGCCAAAGCTTTTATGGTTTGGTAGATAGCAGTATAGCGAAAGCTTCCTTTTTTGGCGTGGTCAGTTTCGGATGTTTCGCTTCAGGCAGCGTTACCATGTCGACCGTCATGGTTAACTTGCACTAAAACAGTTGAGATTATCTGTCCTAAATGAAATGCATACAAACTCATATACAGGTCCTAGACTAAAGCCTTTGATAATATTAATTTCTCCTTGGTGAAAGAAGCGTGTTGAGTAAATGACGTCACATCTGGCTAAGAAATCGACACCTCGCTAATTGATAACTTGGTAATGGCAGCTGTTGAGGGGCCACAAAACACACTGCTTTCCCAAGGTCTCAGTAAATAAGTGTCTTGTTATATAGTATATAAGTGTCAAAATATCTTGAAACCAAAACTAGATAAATGGAATGCCATAAATGTTTAATAAAACAAGTTTAATAAAATTAACTTTGGAACTTCACGCTCATGTCGCATGTGCACTACACCCATTCTATTGTTGACCGGTCAACAATTGTTTCATTGTTGACCGGTTGCCCTCTCATCAAAGCAATGGCATGTGATACAGTTTTGACCAATCGGCAAACAGGAAAATTGAACTTTGACACTTGCTATATAACAATAATGTTTGTGAACTTGTTATTTTATGTTGAGAGTGTTATTTATTTGAACCAGTATGAATGCAGTATATATGTTTATGTTCTTTTGAAACTGCTTTTCTGAGTTAATATTGTACGGTATTGT